CAAGAAAAAATTAATAAGCAGTTATACTATTTCTACATGGACTCCATGACAGTTCAAGTTAGGTTATCCTAAAAAATACTTTAAGGTTCATCTAAACTCACAACAATTAGCATTTTCATTTACTTATTGCCCCAAATAATGGACTGTATTAATTTTTATTTAGTGCAGGCTATTTACTCAATGTCCTACATTTAAGTCCTTTCTCTTTCAGTCATTAGCTGTTAACAAACTCACTCTAAACAATATTAAAACAAGTTCCATTAAGTTACCTTTTTGTGTTTTAAGAAAATCTGTTTAGTTTTTGTAGCAAGAGCCTTTGCGAAAGACTTTCATAAAGATGAGAAACCATGCCTCTGAACAGATACAACAGCCCATGAAATGGACAGTGTAAACAAGACTAAGTTAAAGCACTTTCCCGCACGGTTTAACAGCATTAATAACTACTCTTCAGGTAGGCGTGCAGATTTTAAATGCCTTCAAAAGAGGTAGTTCATACAGTTACAAGAACACCAACACTTATAGTGACATCTTATGTGCACAGAAATGGAGACAAGCACATCCCTTTACCCTGGCATATCCGAAGTACAGTTAACAGGAAAATGTTGTTCAGTGATTTTTTGCCTTATTTCTTAAAAGTGGAAGTATTTCAGTTCTGCTGTTTGCATTTCAAAGGCCACCATTATCAAGAATCTACAGAAAGAACCTATACATGTATTAAATCTTTCCTATATATGTAAGATCACTAGGAGCGCAAAATGGAAGCTCATGGTGAAATCCAAGAAACCAAGAGTGCGGGACTGATGTGTTTTAGTGGGGAAAGCTTTTATGGCCATTTTAAGTAACGTGTTCAACGTACAACACAAGTGGAGGAAACAGCGTCGCCTTTAGAGCATCTAATCTCTAAAAGAATTCCAACACAGCAATATCCCAACTAGCTCTGCTAATCCAGCTGACTGCACAGTGACCCAGCAAGTGGCAGGACCCTGCTGACAGACAGAAATGCAGGATCATACATCACAGCAACAGCATGTAATGAACTTGGTATAAGCCATTAGGCATCTAGAGCTAAATTTTCTGTCTGAGCAATGAAAGCACTGCAATCATCTGCAATCATCTGCAATTTTTATAGCACTGTGTCATTTTTAAGTATACCAGCTTGTCAGCCACTGTTTTCAATGTGTCATCATGGCTGAAGTTGTGGACTAAGGAAGAAAAGAAATGAAATATTCCCATGCAATCTTTTCTTTACAAACTGAAAGATAACTGGAGAACAACAAAATTAAGTGGCAGTGATTTTCTTCAGTTCAAGACAGCCATTCCATTAAGTCTTATTGTGATCTGTTCTTTCTTAAGCATTGAAAAGAATCCACACAGCTGCCTTGAAATGTTGTTAAACATTATTTCAATTTTGCAGTTTTGTCTACAAAGATCTCCCTCCTGAGCAAGCATCAATGAAGACAATGAAGTTAAACTGGCAAAACACTTTGTTTTCTAACAAATGTTTTTGAAGCCTGAACTAAAAACCAGGACATGAATTTCAGTCCAGCTTCCAAGATCAGTATTTGTTTAGTTAAAACAGGAAGAAGTCCCAGGCCAGCCAGATTTTTATTTTTATTGTAATTTTAATTAACACCTGTCAAAGTCAGTCACAAGAAAGAAGTTACCTCTACCATTATAAATTACTTCACATAGCTGTGGCATTTAGAAACAAAAGAAACTAGAAGCATCTAGCTCACACAATACACTAAAAAGTAATACATCCTTTAAAGAAAACACCTTTAATAAAAAGGTTTCGAATACTACTACTCAGTGTGGGCAATAACATTAATAAGAATTAACTTTGTGTAGGAAGCATTCTGCATTTTAGAGCTCACAGAAGTTAAATAAAAACAACGCAACAACCCCCTCACACAGATTTCCTGAAGGCATTTCATTAAAAAAGGGAATATAAGGTAATCCTTGAGAAATAAATACTTTCGCTGACATTTCCCTGTAACAATTTTTTGCTTCTTCTGAGAGCATTGCCTTGTTTGAGGACATGCTATAAAATTTCAGTAGTTATATAGGGTATCACAAGTTACAGCTCAGCATCTTCAAGGCAAGAAACAAGAGTTTTCCATGAACAGAATGATAGGAAGACTGCCAACTCGGTAATGTGGAAGTTACACAAATCTTGCCCTTTGCCAAGAATGCCCCCCAAACAACAGATTTGAAAGTTGAAAAATATTCAAGAATTTTGGTATTAGATAAGGTTAGAAGATGTTTTCAATGCTTTAGGTTTGATTTTTCATTGTTATGACACGTACAATTGGGTTCCTGCAGTAAAATGGACCATGTAAATCGATGACATACTACTTACCACTGAAAGCACAAAATTGAGAAGAGCTGTCCCACTATGGAAGAGGATTGTCACCAGCGTTGTAACTGTAGTAAACAAGAGGCTCACATTGCGACTCATCACTATCCACAGAGACTCCAAGATCTGGAAAAGGAGGGGGAGTGAAGACAAAGTCGGGCACCAGATAGTATTAGCTAGGACAGAGAATTGCTTACAGAGTGATTCATCTCCATCAAGCCATATAAAGAAGATTTTTTTTTAAAAAAAATAATCACCTTCCCTTGCTCCTAAATTACAGCAGGTCATATCAAGTGAAAACATCTACTTTACCAAAAGACAAGTTTCTAGGTAAATGGTTACTACGTTTTAGAATTTTTCTCCCAATGCTCAAAATTATTTCATTATGCAAAATTGTAAAAAATCGAGATGCGGTGACACTTGTTTATTGTGATTAACATCACCATCAGTTGAAAGAGGATCTTGTCTTGGAAGAGAAAAGTCATCTTTTCAAAAGCAGAAATGCTAAAATGAAAAGAACACTGAGTAACATCACAAGGTAGAAATAAATCTGAAGACAACTTCAAATCAAGTAATAGAATTACTACTTCAATAAAATTTGTTTTAAAAACGTTTTATGGTAATGAGATGCATAATTTTTATAACGCATGTAGACAACCACACAAATTGTGATTCTGAGTAGTGATGCATCAGTTAGTCAAGCAATTACAGAAAATAGATCAAATTATGCTAGACAATCTATTAAATTTTGTACTGGCTTGGGGAACTGATTGCTTATGAGTTACAGATAGTAAAGAGTAGTTTTGAAACATGCCTTTAAATATGTAATACCCACTACAGCCAAATTAGTTTATGTATGGATGCAGACACGTCAATCTGAATAGGGCAGCAACTTCATGAGACATTAAGGACATAAAGGCATGGCATGGCACACGGAGGCATCCTAAACGCAACGCACAGTAGTTTCATAACAAGTATTTCATTCAGAAGAAATACAGTAAGAATGTATTAGCCAAAGTGATTCAAAGATATAAAAGAAGTAAGGTTACAAACAAAAAGCCATGCCTCTTTGAGACTAATTAATGTAACTAGAAAAACTGTAAAAGGTCTGACACAAAAGCCCTTCTCCAGGTTCAAAGCAGTAAGCAAACACTTCAAAACTAGCAACAGTTAATTTTGGTTTAATGAATATCTTAATCAATTAGACTGTATAAAACAAAAAAAATCCAAAGCCCCAAACCAAAAAACCCAATAGCTGGCATTTGTAGAGCAGACAATAGAGTGTGAGCTGTGTGATCACTTGTCCTTTGAAACTGAGTGAAACATACAGAAGATAATTTATAAAGCATAAGCTTGGGAGGAACTAAGTGCTGGGGGAAGTGACGGGGAATTACAACACACAGTAAAACCAGGAAGATCTACTTAATTCATGCTTCTCACTATTTAATGGGAATTATGAATTTTAAGGCTCATCTTTTGAACAGATTTTATTAGTCTCTCTTGAGAATTCAAGTGAGGTTAGAAGTAAAGAGGATGTTCTGCTGAAAAACATTCTCCCTCTGGTATTTGTCCCCTTCCTTCTTCTACAGATTAAGGATTAATTCTGGGAGTGCAGCAGTGGTATGAATTCATACAGCCACCAGGTGACTTTATTAAATGTACATTATACTATGAGGACTGTAAACACAGAGGACAGTGATTTTTGAGGGAACAGTTTGTAGCTAAAGCAGAGGCCTTTCAGTTGGTATTCAGTAAAAATAGTACTGTCACTGCTAATAACAGGCCGTAAGTTGAATGCTAACTGTGCAAGGCTCCAGTCCCAGATGTTTAAGCCTGTTACTAGAACTTGGCACGTGAACAGGAGCTTGGTGTCACAGGTCTCCTGTTATGATGTGGACTTTAACCACAGAACAGCAGCTAAGGACTTGAAAATAGGGGCACAGGTTGAAAACAAAGGCCCCTGAAACACAAGCAGTTTCTTGAGGAAGAAGGCATTGAACAGGCACAAACTTAAGAGCTAGGAAAAGATTGCTTTTGCTTTAAGAAAATGTGGTAGCAACTAAGGAAGGAGAAAAAAACCCTCAACCAAACAGACAAGCAACAGGATATGGCACCTGCCATGACCTGGAAAAGTAATGCCTCTCCAAGTATCACACAGCATATAGTCCAGGACAGAGGTCAAGAGTGGGAGTTGTCCAGAAACAAAAACACCTTATAAAAGGACAAGCTCCTTAATTTGAGGGAAGAAGATGTGCATTTCAGTTCCAGCTTTCCGTACTTAAGAGCTATTGAGCCTGCTCACTTACACTTCTGTGACTCAGACCGTCAAGGATAGCAGCTATTGCTGCCAACTACAGTGTCACCACGATGGTATTCTATTCTCACACCTCATGTAGGATATGACTGCTAAGGACTGATCTCTTTAAATACATAACAATAACAATTAGTAGACTGTAAAACAAACCATCAGCATGAAGTGCGTTGTTAATGAAAGTTGGTCTAGTAGTTGGACTGATTTCTCAGTCTTCTAAATATTAATCACAGCAATCATTAATTCCCTCCCTTGCACACCATCACTTGCCACACATCAGCTGAGCTGATACTGGTGAGTGGTTCACAAGGAGAGGGGCTTGTTCCATCTGCTACAAGAGAGTGTACATCTGGTGGGGGCTGGGAACGTTTCCTTCAAAATAGCACATTCCTCCAGTATAGGCTGTATTTGTTTAATGCTTTCCCTAGAAGCTTTAGCCTAAGGAGCTGATAACCAGGAGTATACAGCTGCAGTTAGTCTGAATGCAGTTATCAGGTGGTTTAATCAATATCGGGAATGATTTTCCTAGAACATCACCCATGTTAGGTAGAGTCATTGATTTGAACCGTTGAACTAGTTATCACTAGCATTTGCTTCAGAGTAAGCATGGGTAGTGCTTTTCATTCAGCTTCACTATGTCTTATGAAAGCAAGCGCATCTTCTAGGACTCACCTCCAGCTTTAGAGTAAATTTCTCTTTATGCATATGTACCATTAAAATTTCAAGACGCATGCTTCTCATCGCTAGGATGAGAAGACAGACATAGAACACATTAATCATTACTGAATACAGTATCAGAAAGTGCTCAGATACTTCACTAAGAGTCACAAAATCAAAATACATGTACCTGCACCTAAGAGTTCATAATGCTGTTTGATTCCCAGAGCATACTGCAGCTGAGTTAATGAGCTCAGTTACTATGCATAAACAATTTCCAACACCTTGCCAGCCGACCAGTTCTCCAAAACACAACTAAGTGTGAATATTTATGCGATAATGATACTTTTACTATTACTGTTATTAAATAACTGAAAACCACACCTCTTTCCCCAAGACAATGCTTTGTAAGTAGCCTTAAGAGATCAGTGTTCAAAAGAGCTAGGAAGCTGTACAGGAAACAAAACTCCCTTATACAGTACATTGTGGTATGTCACCATCAGCATCAGTTGCTGTGCCTTTCCAATCTGTAACAGGCAAGAAATCAAAATTGCACTTAATGTTCTTAGCCATACAAGGTGTCCTACTGGCCACTTAAACTGGCCAATATCTGAAAGCAAGGTTTTAAAAGGCACTTGACCAAAACAAGTTCTTTGCCGAGAACTTCAATTCAACAAACTTCTGGAAGCCAGGTAAATTCATGTACCTAATTTGATTGTAGAGATCATTAACAGATTTATCAAGGGAATAAAATTGGACACAAAGAGATATTAGGAAAAAAAAATTGTCCTTCTGTATACTTTTGATTTTTTTTTTTCTGTTCAGAAAGATGTATCATCCTGACAACTCAAAAATGACAGCAACAGAACAAGTCAATAATCCTTTCAGGTAAAAGACCAGCAACGGACTTTGTGAAGAATAATATAGTATGCACAACATCAAGGGCTTCCTGCTCCAATTAAAAGCTGATTTCCAAATAAAAGTTTACCCATAAAGTTCTGGGCTAACCTTTCAGGGCTCAACAGCTTATTTTTCAAAAAACATTTTTGCTTAACCTTTACATGAAACAGACAAAACAGCAACAGAAAAAGGACTATCCTCCAGCATCATGTCTTTGACTTTCTGACTGTAAAGAAACCAACTCCTTCTCTAAAAGTATGCATCAGGTTGAATTTCACTTACACTCAAAAAAACCAACACCCATTATGAAGAAGAGAATGCCACACTTCTGAACATTTACCTTACTAGAAAAAAAAAAAAGCACTGTAGTTGAATTATTACTGAAGAATGGACTGTATTAGCTATAAACTTGGGAGATTACTTGAAGAAATTCTCAGGGCCAGAGAAAACATTAGGATATATGGTAACTCAGTGAAATATTTGAGAAACTGACTTCTTTGGAACACACAGATCAGTCATGCTAAAGGCAGGGATAGAGAAACCTAGCTGAGCTGAAGCTTGCTGTGTATGTCTTAATGGAAGGTCTTCTGTCTTCCTGTCTGGGAAATTTCTGAATGACATAGCAGCTGCTGGTGGAATGATAAATACTCGTGTGCAAAGAAGCAAAAAGATCGATTTAAGGAGACATTAGCAGTGTCTCATATACTATCAAGGGAGTTCTGAGTGATCATTCACAGATTTAGCCAGCAGTCCTTTAATTTTTCAAGGTTTCACACCTTCAAGAAATGGAGAAAAAAGGTATGAATGGAAAAGCAGGTGAGTGGGGAATGAACGAGGCTTTTTTATTTTTCAGAAATTAAAACTTAATAGTCCAGCTATGTATTGCATATTTCATTCACCTGAAAAACTACCTTAGAAGAGAGCATGGGGTGCAAAATTTGAAGCCTAAGTGAGGATCCACTCTAGTTCTCTCCCCAAACTAAGAATAGGATGAAATAAACCCCACTTCAGAAACATATCACCAGATAAACTTGTTTATAACACTACTGCTTCTAAAGAATACTGGAAAAATCCAAAGCTGAAAGGCAGCAGTGTTGCTAACACCAAAGCTTTTAGAAAAATGCAAACCAAAGATTTGGAAAAGCTTATCTGCGTATTAAATCTTCAGGCAATTTACATGTTTATATAGTGAATTACTTTAAAATAATTAAGGTCTGTCTACATCAAACTAGAGCTAAGTATAACTGCTATAATGAACAGCACATTTTGAGGGGGGTACAGAAGTCTTCTGTGCTTTATCTGATACTCAAAGTACTGAATCGATGCATATTGTTACAAATTAAGCAAATGCCAGTAATTCCCCAGCACAGCTAAACTAGGGATTTAATTATATACTTTCAACTCTAATATGAAAGTTTCTTCTACTACAGGTAAAGTCTGAAGTTAAACACTTGCATCTGTCTTCTTTCAGCATTTTTCTTACAGCAAATGTTCCTTCTTTTACTACAGAGGATGAACATTTCTTATGATTTCCATCAATGGAAAAGAGCTTATCTGCTTGTGATTGTGACACTGTCAAATAACTGTATTTTCAGAGAATAGAGAGTCATCTGTACTATTCTGAAGTATTTCAGAAAGCCAAGGGGCTAGCAAGCCAGTTATTCTATGGTAAACTCTAGCCTCAATCTATGCATAAGTATTTTTAATGTGCAAATAGTGTAATCTTAGTTCATTCTTTTCCAAAGGTGGAGGAAATCTCACTACGGCTGCGTATCCACACACACTTCTTTACAGTTATCTCATTATTTTTAAATGGTTTGTGTTTTTAAAAAAACTGTCAAAACAATTTTGGGACTGTACCATGTCTTGCTATATTCTTAAGAATTGCAGGTTAGCACTGATTTCAAGTGTCCAAATGCAGAAACATCCTACAGTTTGAGTTATAGATAACCTCTTTAATCTCCTCCCACCCCCTCCCACAATCCCCACCATACACAACACACTCAGTAACAAGAAGAAAATCCCACCCAAAGTCCAACAAAATACAAAAATGCAAACAAAATTAAAAACCCCAAACAAAACACCCACCCAAATGAAAAAAGAAACCCTCCAAAACAACCCCCCTCAAAAGCACCTACATAATTTAAAATATTGATCCCTCCCACATAATTTAAAATATTGATCCCTCCCAATTCAGTATGCCATTCTCATAACTCATCGTTTCTCTTTAAAATACCAAGAGAAAGATTTTCATGTTCTGATAAAAACATAAATCCCAGATACAGTAAGCTTCTATTGTATCCTAGGGTAGGTAAGCAACTTGCTTACAAACACCAGACTTAAGTCAAAACTATTCTTATTTTCATCATCTCCTAGTTTTAATGACCTAAACAAGCACAAAAATCAGATTTTCATCAATTTTAAATTGGAAATATCAGTGTGAGTAATATTTATGCAATGCATTATGGATGAGCAAGCCAGCAAAGAAAATGCTGCCCAGTAAGGATGTGAAATCAGGATTTAGAGCTATATACTATGCCGACTGGTTTACAGTCTGGCATTAAGGACATGAGTGCGTGGAGAAAAGGGACAGGTGCTTCCCCACAGCTGCTGAGTAATGAGCTCATGCAAATAAACAGGAAAGCAAGTCAACTGCTGGCACTTTTTTCCCCGAACTTCTGAACCAGATTTTACAAGTAAAGGAAAGCATGCTAGCTAGATGAAAATTTTATTATTAATGTATTGCAGTCTTAAATATTTATTCTCTTTAAACTATTTCCTGCATTATTCTAGCCCATTTGGATTACTGAAGCACATGTATCGTGATTTCTGTGCACTGTGCAGCAATGCTGTAAACGACACAGCTGGCACCTATCGTGTAGTTTCTCCTCCTTCTCTCCCTCTTGCCTAGAAGGAAACTCCATATTGATTTTAAATGATGATGTGTTGTGCATTTTTGTAACTCTGCCTCAAGCATGCATGGTCAACTCTGAGAAAGTATCAAGCAAATTTCACTATTAACTGAAAAAAAGGTTCACTGCAATAAGAAGTTTTTCTCAACTTTTTGTTGACTCACATTTTCTTCTATGATAGAAACTGCAACCATTTAAGCAGCAGTTGAGGAAGGACAAAAGAAGCCCATGTGGTCATCTGTCTAAACCAAGAACTGCCTCAAGGCAAATACTAGATTTAACTGTATCCACAGAAATGTTATGTTGTGCATTAGGCATAAAAAACATTCTTCCAAAATGGATAAATAATAACCTGAAGATAATTCTAGTTTATGACAGTAGCTCAAGTCAAAGATGAACTATAACAGGGATTGACTCTGTATATTAAGCATTTCAGACGTAACATCATTTTTAAGAGAAATGTAGTTGCTTCAGTTTGGATTGCTTTCAACGACTTTTCTTCTTCTCGGCATGAGGTGAAAGGTCCAGTGCATTAATTCAGGAATTCACACAGTGTAAAATATTAATTTCATTCTCCACAGAACTTTCATAAAAGAAGAAAGAAATAAGCTGCTTTCAACCCAATGAATAATAATTTGAGGAAAAAAAAGTAAGATTACAAAAAAAAATATTTTCACGACCTCTTGGTCAATAGTTTCCTCAACTATATCCTAAACAAACTGGTCTCTTTTTTAAAAGACTACATAACATAAAGCATTTAAAACCAGCTTGCAGGTGACACAGGTAATCCTATAGTAAAAATCTGTCTCAGGAAGAAGTCTGGGTAGGTAGTATTAATGAAGATGCTGAACTCAGGAGGGCTTCTTCATCACAACCAGTTCTGTTTGCAGTATGGATATATCCTAAGTAGGCTTACAAAAATTGCTTAGGTAATTATAAGTAACACTAACACTGTTTCCATAATTTTCCACGTACTTGAATCCATAACCTCAGTGGTAGTCCAAGGAAGAATTGTTATCAGTTAAAAATGAAACCAATTTGGTAATAAGGGCAAAAACCACGTACCGAAAGAAATGTTTCAATGTTATCATGAACAAATGATGCAACATCTTGCCAGTCCAAAATATCACCAAGCCAGCTGTTTTGACGGTTTATGTGCCATTTGTGTCCTTTGTGTCTTCCAGAATGTGTTACATTCTTAAAAAGAGAGACAAAGACATAAAGAAAACAATTTGAATAACTTACAGATATGAGAAAGGCACAGACTAATGTTTTCTTAATGAGGAACAGATCCAACGTGCATCTAAGTACTTAAGAGTTGCTTTAATTGGCATCCTTAAAAATACCTGGAAGTACTCTCTACACTGGAAAAATTAAAATCTGAAAAACAACTTAGTTAATTATTCCATATATTTACAGTTCTGTATATTGTACTCACTCACCTCAGTTAAACATTAGCTTTACTGCTTGACTTATGCAATGGTATCTATCTTGCTCTTTATGAAAGCACAGAAGAAAGATGTAATGATTTCAGTTACTGCATATATAATTTACCATTTGCAACATACAACTTTTCCCAGTACAACCCCCAAAGGAAAATACAAGCAGAAGCCAAAACAAGTAGGTTTTCTCATGATTAGTGTCTACTCGTCCACCGGCAATGTTCAGTCATGCAAAAGCTAAAAGTTAAACTGGACGCATGGAAGACTTCTTCTGACTGCACAGCTTTCTAAGTGCAACACAGCAGGACAACAGGAAACGGCCATAACCACAACAGTTAATTCCTTAAGTGGCTTCACCCTAATTACGAAGTTGCCTATTGTCATAGTTTAGCACCAGCAGCAGCTGAGCACCATGCAGCCACTTGCTCTCTCCTCCCCGCCCCCCGGTGGGATGGGGAGAAGAATCAGAAGAAAAAGGTAAAACTCGTGGGTTGTGATAAAGACAGTTTACTGGGACAACAAACGGAGAGGAAAACAACAATACTCATAAAAGAATATATAAAGCAGGTGATACACAATGCAATTTGCTCACCACCCGGAACCTGATGCCCAGCCCCAAGCCACGATCCCTCCTCCCCGGCCAGCTCACTCCTTTATATACTGAACATGACATCACATGGAATGGAATACCCCTTTGGCTAGTTTGGGTCAGCTGTTCTTGGCTGTGTCCCCTCCCAGCTTCTTATGAAAATTAACTCTGTCCTAGCCAATAGCCAGGACACCTATTGTCCAACTGAATCACACCTGATTACCATCTAGCATGAGACTATTTGAGTCAGTCTGGGACTGTGACCAGTGTTTCAGAGGATGCCAAAATTCTACTGTAAGCAAGTCTAAGCGATCCTCTTGACTGCAACAGATCTCATCCTAATCTTTAACAGCAACAGACTTCTCAGGTTCTCAAGCCTGGTGTTTATGTAAGTGTCCCATTACTACTGTTAAAATTTTCCAAAAACTTTTAACCATACCAGCCGACCTTTGAAATGACAGTACCCTTTCAAGCATACATGTGAAGTAGTATTCCAAGTGAAGTCTCTGCACTGATTTATCTAAGACCATTACATTTTCTGCTTATTACCAATTCTCCCTAGATGCATCATTACACTTTACGCAAAATTAGCAACATTCTTTAACAATCCACAGAAACACAGAGATCTTTTTTCTGAGCTGGTAGTATATTTAGAGCAGAAACATATGAGTAGTCAAAAATCTCCCTCCAATAGGCCTTCTGAATTCATAAACTGTATGAAGAACCTATTTTCTGTTAATCTAGTTCTATTTTCAAACACAGCTCTTACCATTAACTAGCAGAATTAGGTATCATTTGCAAGTTTTGTAATATGTTATTAATACACATTTCTAGTTAATTTTTATTCAGCAACTATACTGTTGTAGCACCTAAGGCCTCAGGTGTTGATAAATAAGGGATTCAAAGAAATTGTCAACTGGTTCAACTTCAACAAATTCACTAAATCTTAAGAACAAAACCTCACACCTGAGTGGACTAGGAAGAGGAGATTCTTGTTCTTGAAAAAGACATCTTGATTGGAGAGCTATGCCATCATCTTTCCAGTGGTTTATTATTCTGTTACTGGTTTACTTCATTGGGAACACAGACACAGTGGTAACTGATCTATTACAACTTCTCTAGAACCTTTTAAAATATACACCATTTGCTATCTACTGATCTCAGAAAGCAGCAGTTAATGGTTGAATCCACATTTTTTCAGCAACTCTTCCTCAATTCTACAGCTTTCATGGAAAAGTGTCACCAGAGCCTGGGTTCTTCAGTCACCTAGAGACTACGGCAACACTATGCGGGCTGCAAAATGAAGTGCAATTATTATGCTCATACAACTGAAATAGTGGAGAGCTTGAAAGCTGTACTGAGAGAGTGAGAGATAGTACAGATGTCCTCCACACTGCACTATCATCTAGTTTACCAGTTTTCAGAGACATTGAAGGACAACGCAAGGCTATTCCTATATTACAGAAGGAAACAGCCAGGTGGAAAGCACTCAGATGAGACATTTACATGGATATGGAGTGTGACAGAAGGGGGAAGATTAGAAATAGATTCTGGAGGAGCTACCTGCAGCCCACAAATAAGCGGTTGCAGCCCAGCATGCCAATGGTAACATAGGGTCTCTAGCATGCAAACAGTAGCCAGACTTTGTAGGCAGTGAGCATCAGTGTGTTTCAGCAGCTCTTTCTGCCATTTTAATTACTAGGAAAGCTGTTTTTTTACCCTACCAGAACAGTATCTACAAGAAAGCTGCCTCACAGTATTCCCTCAAATAACAGCTGCAAGAAAGAACTCATGTAACACAACGAACACAGATGCAACCTGTGCTGCATACTGCAGCAACAAAACACCTCCTACAGCACATGTAGTGACACAGAGCCTGACTGAACGGTGCACTGCTACGGACCATCTGACACACAGGTTACATTAGTAAAAGCAACAGGTTTACCAGTGTAACTGCATCAAAAGTAAGTAAGTGCTTTTCCTCGTCAAGCATTTAACACTGAATACTCCTGAGTGCTTAAGGACAGCAAAATCTATCATAGACTCAGTTTTAATTTCTCCTCAGTGGTCCCATATTCCTCAACAGTGTCATGTTATCTCTCTACATGTTCTTCTACAACATTATGTTGTCAGAAAAAGAAACTGATTCTTTCCCCTACTATTTTGACTGCTACACCGAAACTCTTAATTCTTTTAATACAGAGATCTTCTTCGAACTTTAGAGTACTTTAAAAACAACTGTATAAATAAAAGTGTTAATATATTATAGTTGCAATTATTTAAATATATTTAATATTTCAGGGGTACGACTTCTGGATTTTGATATTTCCATTGCTCCATGGCTAATTAATTGCTTGCTTATTCCTTTAAAAGGCAAACAGCATTGGCAGCATGGAAATGATGTAACTCTTATGACCTTTTCAAGATTCAGTATGCAGAACCCATTATAGGAAGGCTCGTACAGTTGGCAAAAATGCATTGTAAGAAACTTAGTGAAAGGATAATTTCTTTCCCAAAATTTCAAATTAATAAAAGTTACACAAATCATGCAGAATACCAGTTTCCTTTTCCTAATCCCTCAAGATCACAAAAATTCAACAGAAAGCTCTAAAATATGACATACTAAATAGAAAAAGTGAGCAAAGCGTAAATTAAATGGCATAGATAAAAACACACATAACTACTTAAGTGAAGGACACAGTTCTGGCTGTACGCAAACTGTGACTGTAGAATGATCTTACACACTTGAAATTCTTACCAACTTTTTATTATTATGACCTTTACTCAGCATTCCAACTTTTCGCTAATCTCTTTCTCAGAAATGCACACTTAGCATAATTACCTCAAGGCACTAAGTGATAGCTTATAGTTTATATAAACACCATTTAAGTAAGTTACCTACCTTCACAAACCAAGAGTGATAAAGCCTGTCCCAGAGCTCTAGCACTTGTTTTTCAATCACAGCGGTGTTATTAACTTTTTCTCCTAAAATCTTATGCAGCTAAAACATAGAGAAATCTTTTATTATACAGGACAGAATGAAACTGACGTCTACGACAAACTCCAACTAGATGAATCACTTAAGATTGTCAGTAAAGGCATGGCTCAAATCCCATTGATTAGAAAAGCTGAGTATCAGCATGGAATACATGCTTCAGACAACATGGTTCGTAACATGAAGATTTTGTCTGTAAAAAACATTCTGCTGCACTAAGCCGAGGACTTCTTTCTGCACTGAAAAAACATCATCTCTAAAATGCTGAATCCAAAATCCTTGATCATCTTTACAGTAAATATTTCAAATAATTTGAGATGTGTGCTAGATATCAAAACGTACAAATAAGAATCTTGGCAAATTCTGGTGAAGAAAGTTAAATAAATAAATTATAATTAAAAAAAATATCCCATCTACCACACCCAGCCCACACAGAAATTAGAATACTGGTGGGGAATACGTTGCCTACAATTAGACAGCTAAAGCCAGATTAAAAAAAAATAATTCATCTTTAATTGATGCATTTTCACTGGCAATCTTATTAAAATTATGACAGATCATTTTCGGCTATTAAAAATAAATAGTCTTCTGAGCAGAAAAGACTACTGAAATCACTCCCACTCTTCTTTCCACTCACAAACTAGAGAGTGGAAAGAACAGATCTGTCAACAAAATGGTTCACCACACAGAAAAGAATCGCTGACAAAAATCTTTTTTTTTTTTTTTTTTTTTTACTTTTATGAAACACCAGAAACTAAAATATTAAAAAAGGTGGGGGAGCTCACTCTTACCTTATGTGTAATCCATTCGCGGCCATATTGGTATACATTATTAGCTGCTGAATTGAGTGCCTTCTGAATAACCTGGGCTTCTGGGAGCCAGCTAGTTTTTTTAAAGAAGGGAAACAAAATTAACTGCTGTGTATTTTACCCATTCCATTACACATGAAGCACATTACAAATTAACGTTTGGAAACAACAGCAAACAGTTAAGGTTAAATACATATAAACTTACTACAACTAGAATATTTCCTTCTACATATCAAGGAACAGACTTTCTCATAAGAAAAGCACAATTAAATCTAGGGCACGTCACTGGAATTCTCCAAGGGTCCTGAAACTTCAGTTAAATTAGTATCTCAACTTTTTCAAAAGAGATCTGCTCTTCAATCTGTATGCATGCTATTCACATTACATTCTTAGAAATTTTCCTAGTGTTCTAATTTTCTGAAAATACTGTATGAAGCAGTCTCATCTAGCTGCAAAGATAACCTTTTCAATTATGAATTGAATGTAAATTGTTAACATAGTTTCCCTGAAAAAATGACCAGATGAAGCAAGAGGTTTGGGCACCAGCTATTTCTAAGTCCCCACCAAACCATCTTCAGGGATTCATGTCATTCTCAGGCAATGGACCTACTGAGATGCCAGCATTCCAACACTTGTGAATACAGGGAACACATTCTCTGCTTTGACTTTCTTTCTACATCTTGATTCAATGGCACATGTTAGAGCCCTTCCAAAACAATAAAGTATTCAGGAAATAAAACTGCTGCATTTGTTCACCTGACTGAAGATCAACATGGAAGCTTTTCTGTCTGTGTAACCCTTCAGAAATGTTCTGTACTGGAATTCCAAGCCATTTCAGTCACTCACCTCTAAATGTAATGTGAACATCAAGCTCTGAAGCTTGAGATATACTTACTCCTAATGGATTAAAAGACAGTGTTTGGGATGCTTTAAATTTGGATGCAAACACTGGAAGTAAAAAATTTATCTAAAATTCTGTTAATTACTCAACTAGTGCTGCAGTATTTTCATTATGTGAATAAGCTTCTGACAGTCAAATTTCCATTTTCATTAGTTCTACTTATTTACATCCTATGACAAAATGGAAAGGCCAAATAACACAAGAAATGCCATGAAGGAATAAACAAACACATTAAGTGCTTTCTGTTCTCTTGATTGTGATTACTTAAGTATTAGTAAAGCACATATTACTATAGCATTTATTAACTCTATCATTTTAGTTCTGTTTTTGAAAATTTATCTTGCTCTTATAATACAGCATGCACCTTCTTTCAATCCTGTTAAACCATCATCACTTTTGTTTAGACAATGCCCTTGAAAAGCATCAACCATTCTTGTCCAGGACACAATTATTTTTTCCTGGGAAGTGCCTGGACTCACCTTTACTCAATGTCTGTTTAGCTGAAGTAGAATGAAAGCAAACTGGAACATCCTCCCTTTAAAGTCACACTTGTCGGTCTTACCTATTCCCCCTCTGCTGCTCATGCAATCACTTCTTTGCTCACCAGTGTGCCCTTGTTTTCCTCTCGAAATCTTCTCTCTCTCTTAATATTTGCCTTGGTGTTTGCTTTAATCATTACACAGACCATATCTTATAAAGTTCCCACTGTGTACACTATACACATCTACTCTTAACAGGAACAGCCCTTCCCAAATGATTCATACCAAACTGTCCCCATCCACCATTCTTTCCACCCTCAAACTCTTTTTCAGCTCACTCTGAAAACATTTTCTTCAACTCCTATTCCCTCAAAGGCATTCTGCAGCCAGCTCTCCACATTAAAAAAATAACTCAGCTTTCATCTCGCAACCTTCTACAGAGAGCATTCTTTGCCATTACTTTTCTTTTGCAGGTAAAAGGGAAAAGAATATGACCTCTTTATTCTCTGCACTATGCAAGTTTTTCTCCAAAACTGTAACTAGAAAAGTTTATACACCTGTCCCTCTCCACCAAAGTCCAACCAGTCCTCAAATGAGATACCACATTGACAGTCTCCCAGAGTAATGCATAAACTCTACTGCTGCCTGAGATCTGCTGTAACAGTCACTCCCATTTCTATTTACCTAGGAGATTTTTTTAAATTAAAACCTGTGCATAACAGCACCTGGAAGCTTGTTTATCCACCCTATACTACTCACTTAACTTCAGGATTCTTACTTTGCCCATTCTGGGTGACTGGCTACTGTCTCATTGATCAAGCTGCTCGTGACTTGAATCATGTGAACGCTCTCTTGATGTACCTAAATTAAATATAGAGAGGAGAAATGTTATATAATGCAAACTAGAACTCTTCCTACATTCAAAGAGCCTTTGGGGTTTTTTTGGGGGAGGGTGGGGTGACCAGTTTGTACATTTAAAGAATAATTCTTCCAACGCAGACAGCCCATCATGATAAATAAAGTGCCATTAACCCCCAAAAGCAGTCAATACAATCATCATCATTCTCATCTGACAATTTTGGTCACACACAGTGTGACTAGTAATAGCAAATGGAAATTTAAACCTCATCTCATCAGTGGAAAAAATTCTAACAATACAGCAGTGCTGTCAATGGAAGCACAGTTTCAGATATACGTTTTAAAGCCATGGATCAAAGAAGTGCAAAAATTAATGAATGCTCAGCTCTAACATGACAAACCATGCTATGAAGTGCTTCACCAAATTAATTCTTCAATAAGAATGATGAAATGCACCTTTTATAAATATCTTAATATTCCTTTTATGAATATACGGAAGTTTTAGGCAGGAACGTTTGCACAACTTTTAAAGCTTTTGATTTTAAGTACTCAGCAGTATATAAGGCTACATTTTGGAAAAAGGAGATTGACATCAGAACCCAGTGATTTTTGTTCCGTAACTGTATTCAACACAAACATTCAATCTCCATTAACTGTTTTAAGTAGGAGCACAGCTCCATTTTAAAAAAAGTAAAAGTACACGAGCGACCTCTTCCGGTGAGCAAAAAAACCCCCAACCACAACCCAAAAGTTACATTCAGACAACATGTGATCATGAATCTCAGCACATTTAAACTCAGAACAGGATACCATGAGGTTATTACAGGCTATTACACAAACAAATTGACAAGTACACCTCAGCATTTTTCAAATATATTTCTGATGCAAAGTAAATTAAAAAGAAAAGAAATCTAAGTGGCTCTACCATTGACAAGAAAAGTGTAACAGGATGCAAAACAAATCTGTTTCTGTAATACATAAGCTAGTAATTGTTTTACTAGAATAAATTTCGTATTTCCAAACATCTATATATTAGTTTTGTCATATATATAAACATATATACAAAATAAAGAAATATAAATATATAGAATTTTATATATAACAAGTCTTGGCATGGTAACAAGTTCAACTACAGAGCAGTTAGCTGCTAAATTTTTCAAAAAAAAAAAAAGCTAAACAATTTTGCATAAATATCAGTAACTTTCATTCAGCATTTAAAATGAGCTCTATGATTACATTCCTTAGTGCACTGTACCTTTGCAGTAAGGAGCAGGGCTAGCAGAAGGGTTCCTATCACTAGCAAAAATATTATGAAAATGCTGATTATTTTATCTAGCATTTTCTCCAACCACACGATCATCTGTTCAGAAAAAAGAAAAAACAAATCATAGCATATACATCAATCTTTAATGAAAGCAATGCTATGTGTTATATGGCAGTATTACTATTTTTATTTACAGAGTGCAAAATCAGGCTCTAATCAAACAGCATTTACGCCCAAGCTTGGAGATGAACAATTAACAAGCAATGTTAGCATGATTAAGGTCATGGTATGACATTGGATTTTGCAAACAACATTTACACGTTACCACAAGACACAGCAAGCCCTCTGCAAAGCAAGCAATAATTCAGCATTTACTTACTAGACCTAAAGAAGCTGGCATTCATGTCAGCTATAAACCTAGATATTTGTTTCTTGTCCTTCGGCAACTCGGAAACTTACAGATGCTGTCTGCACAGCACTTGGAAGTTCTCAAGGTATACGTAAAGTACAATCACAACTTTCAAATTTGAATAGCTAACAGCCATCTAAATGACAAATGAGGAATTTCTGCAAGTTACCAAGTTTTTAAAGCTGTTCATCCCCTTTTGTACTGAAATGGGGCTGGAGGTTTTCTACAGTTTTGAACATAAGGCCAAATACTCAGCACTATTTCCATTCACTTTCAATCTTGAAAGGGTGGTCAGCATTAAACATGCATCAACTAAACCTACTCATACAGGAAACAGGCGTATATGTTGTTCTGTCAGTTTATGGAAAGGGCCATTCTATAGATGTCCACAAACAGTGACACCACTTAAGATTAGAGAAATTCTGATAATGTCATTCAAAATCATAAAACTGCTCAGCCACGTGACTATGCAGAGTGCTCTAGAATGGTGCAAGCTGAGCTTTGTCTCATACACAAATTGAATGTTTACATAAAAAGCTGTGAAAGCCCATGCAAATATGACCAAATACATTTTTCTAGCTTCCATGGTTCAAATACCAAGGCTATTTCTACTTCATCTGGCACTTCTGCAGGAAAAAGCAGTAGAAGTACAGCTGTAAAAGTTGTACATTAAGAGAACTGAGGTCAAAACCAATGTGCAGTAGATAAAAATATGTCCCAGTGAGTACAAGTTATATATTCAATGATTAGGCTGGTAACTTTTTAGTTAGAGATCTTACAAAACTACTAATATGCTTGGTGATGGCTTACATGAGTTCTTTCATCATTATTTACCCTATTCCTAAACATGGAATTGGCCCTGGAACAAGTAACTTCTACAGTCTGCTGTGTGATGATTTAATTGGTTAACACTGAAGTTATAGCTCCTATTTGGAAAAAAAGTAAGGATTTTTTTTTGGTGCTCATCCTGCAGCATCTGAGCAGTTAATGTACATTAAGCAATTATTTTTACAATTCAAGTTCTTTTACAACCAGCTCCTTGTTTGACCTAAATTAACACAAGGATTATATTCAGCATTTTAGAACTGTTGTTCAAAATGATGAAGAAAACATCCTTTTAAAAAAAAGTGTTTGAGCCAGCAAGTATTGGTAACAAAGTCTGTGCTATATTATAACCTGCAGAAAGGAATTCAGAGAACCTGAAGGAATCTGCAAAATCTTTTGTCTAAGATATTTTTAACATTTTTCAGCATTGCTGAAATATTTCAGCCATCAGAAATACCTTGCCAGTGCTAGAGGGAGGTTACCTGCCTGCAGCAGTACTGCAGCTGTCTGAAAAAAATCTGAGTAGTCTCTACCTGGGGCTGCTACCTCTTCGGAAATAAGAATCAAAACAGGATTTGCTGTGCCCTTCCAAGCCTCAGATACAACTAAGAATTATGCAAGAGAAGCAAGAAATAAAAGTCCCTGTCTTAAAGGTCAGAAATCAAAAACATCACTGAAAAATGCCAGGGGATGGAAATTTTATAGCATAGGTTTCAAAATGAAGCTATTAAAAATTAAAGCTGCCCTTGCTATTTCTTATTTAACAAAGTTCAAACTAATTGCTATTTACTTTCTAAGTTAGAGATAAAAGAAACCTACTAGTTTTACATATAGCATCTTAATCAGAATCACTGAATCCAAGAAACTGGAGGTACTGTCAGAGATTTCCAAAAACGCCTCAGTGATTGTGAAAGTGGTATCCAACAGATGAAATCTCAATGCTGCTGGAGCTGGATGCTGCAGGTGTTTTACCCTTGTAGCAACTACTGGAAGAACAAGCTCCAAAAGACCACGATGAGGACTCCCTCTGAACTGGAACATGACCAACAGGATTTTTTCTTGACACTCCTTACTGCGGGCTGGAGTATACCTACATTGCCATTGAGGTGTGGCTGCAGCATGTGTACAGCCTGAATTACCTTTAATCTAGTTAGTAAGGTAATGGCAGCACTGACATTGTACCAGAAAAGGCAGCAGCCTCAGCCACGCAAGCCCACCTTGTGTTTATTTACTTGGGCGGCCCAAGCACGCTAGATGAAAGCCAACTCTGGTATGTCTACAGGTACTGCAATTACATCTCTCACCACAGTCTTAAGGAGATCCAAGTTATACAACTGGTACAGACAAATCACAGGAGAAGACTGAATTGGACTGAGTATTGTAGAAGCAAAAGCAGATGCACAATATTCCTTTAGGGCTGTATTTACTCCCTCTCCTTTAATTTGCTTGCTATTAAATCTGCTTTCCTTCCTCTACATTTACCCACAATACTTCCTTAGGAAGCACTCACCTTTGCACACTCATGCTACAAAATGCATAGGTGCTATGTTACTGCAGGTAAGCTAGACTGTTAAATCCCTGTGTGCTTGTACTTACCACTGAATCAGGTCCAGACTCTGTTCTTACCCCAACCCTGTCAGACCCCCCCTTTACATCCTTCCTGTAGACCATGGACATGCACACAAAGACAAACATATGCTGACTAAACACTAGTCATTAGCCAGAGATCATGAAGTTTTAAATTCAGATCCAAGCTTCTAATCTAAAGGTTAGTCAAGAGCAGGAAGCGGATGCTGCCATGACATCCAAAATTATGCAAAGGTAAAGGAAAGCCAGGCTCCTAAGCTACAGAAGGTCACACTTGTAAAACCAAACCGAAATGTTACTGATTTGTGATAGACTGTCCACAAAAAACTATTCTTAATTGTCACAGTTTTGAAGGGAAAGGTATCAATCTATTTTAATTTTTTTAATTGAGCTCACAGTAAAAAAAAAAAGTTATTAAAATGAGTTGCATTCTGTTAAAATGCCTCTCAATTTTCAACTTTTGGGTGATGATACAAACCATATTACACTGAGCTGTAACAGAACTACAGCTTATGCTTAACAATTGGGAATCCTACTATCTAGACAGGTTCTTTATGTTATGTAGTATGTTATACATTAACTATGAATTCATATTTTCATGTATTTCACACTGCATAGTCATTAGAATGCTAGCTTTCCTAGTATGTTTTATCTACTGCATTACCCACACAGTGAAACATCCACAGCGGACATCTACATTATTTTCAATTAAATCTACATGAAATTACCAAACAGGACTATTATTTTTTTTTTCTTTAAACAGCTTGACTATCTATCACAATGTTTTCCAAGACATTTCTTAGACTTGTTGACACTTCCCTTTAGTTCAGTTAATATTTGAGGATATCATCTTATTAATATAATCTGATGAGAACCACAGGAAGCCTGTAATCAGGACATATCTCAGGGTTACGTTGAAATGAATCAGATGAGTAGTTAATTTAGAAAAGACAGAGAACAGTCTATATGAGGTCTCAAGTCTACTCATACCAGTGTCCGAGCAACAGCAGAATTTAGCAATTATTTCTAAAGACTCCTGCCACAGACAATATTACAAAGAACAAATGATACTAGCCCAACTGAACCTATTCTTTATTTTGGGCTACATATATCATGTTAAACTATGTGATTATATATTCTTGTTTGCCGAAAGCAAAGAGTTTCAAGCAGCTCTTTGACAGGTGCTCTTAGAACACGAAGAACAAAATGTTTATCACTAGCAACCATAATCAACCATCATTTCAAACTCTGCCATCTCTAGGTGGTATATTTTTAGTTTCTTGGTGGATTATCAGAAATTCATCTAGGTGTTCTCACAAGTAATTCCCTTCAAACACAGGCAAAAAGGAGAAAGGTGCAAAGGAAGCAATCTTCTAACTGCATCCAGAGTTCAGTATTACAAATCTCCTCCTTTGCCTCTAATTATATTAAAAAAAAAAAAAAAATCATACTCTATTTCAAAAAAGAGAAAAAACCCAACAAAACAAAGCTGCAAGAACTTGATACAGTTTGCACAGTATTTTTTTGCCTTTTTTTTCCATCTTGATTATAATATTATTACTACTTGCTTGTCGTGCAAAGGTATCAGCACTGCATGTAACGCTGTAAGACTTTCAGGATCTCCTCCTATGAAACTGTAAAGTAAAACAGTAGTTTTCAAAAATAGCTCCTAGGAACTAAACACACCCCTCCCTTAAGAAACTATATTGATGGGGTTTCGCTCAATAATCACAGAATCGTAGAACAGTTTGGGGGTTGGAAGGAACCTTAAAGATCACCTAGCTCCAACTCCCCTGCCATGGGCAGGGACACTCTCCACTTGGTTCTCCAAAGCCCCATCCAACCTGGATTAATTAATTTTGGATGAATACTTCCTGTCTAATACTCATGGGTTATGTTGCTGTACAGGGAAAACCTATGAAAGCAAGG